AAACCTTTAAAAAAAAAAAAAAAAAGAGTAAGTTGGTGGCTGTATGCGTTATCTACCTTCTGACAACCCAGGAAATGGAGGCTCTCAAGGCAAGTCTTGTTTCTCTAGGGGGTGCTCTTCCAAGGACTGCTCTTCCAGCAGATGTGTTGCCTTGTAGTGACCCCAAGCTTGTTTCTTCAAGAGTGACATTAGCAAAATTTACCCTAAAATAATTTACCAAAATTTTTTCCTAGGGAAATAAAGATTCTGCAGAATGGTGGTAAGTTGGTTTTTCTAATTGAGTAGGCTTTAATTTTGTTATGTAGGGAAGCAGTATGATTTAAAGTTTAGTTTAAAAGGTAGGGATTTTAAGATTAATTTTAGCCTGCTTTATTAAGCATGTTACTTAATTCTCATCATGCTCAATTTCTCTTTATGAAACATCAGAATAATAATTGTACTTAACAAAGAGACTTTTTGTAAGAATCAACTGAGAAAATATAAAAGTCCTCTAAGCATAATACTTAGGTATTCCTAAGAAATACTTAGGTAAAATTCCAACTAATTTAGAGCAACTCTTAGGTGACTGAAGCTTAATTTTTATCTCATCATCATGAATGTCCTCAACTTTAGTGCTTGAGGAAAGGGAAAAATGGGTACTTGAAACAGTGAGAAGGCTTAGAATAGGCTTGTATGAGTTTTGAGTGTTCACAGAATTTGACAATACTAAGTTTTCTGGACCCAGTAATTATTGTCTCTCCATTAGGGCAAGTAAGCCTCAGGGAGTCAGTGGTTCTAATGCAGCCCAGTTTAGCTTCTGTTAATGCTCACCCTGCAAAAGTAAGAGTAGGTGGCACATTCTCTCTTATAAAGTGGGATAGCTTTTGGTCCCTGCATGTGCATCACCATTTTGATGCTGTAAGCAGTACCAAATGCTAAGTATTTCCTCAGGGAGAAAGATTTCCTTTGCCACTTCCACTGGCAATGGAAAAGTTTATTGACAGACTTCTGTGGCCTCGAAGACGTGCAGGCACTGAAGAAAGTGAAGAATATGATTAAAGACGTGGATGTGATGAGATTCATTCGGCTCTTTGGGTGACTGTAGAAAGTTACTCCTGTAATCTTGCTGTGCATTTCTGAGTTGGAAATTCATTGTCAAAGGAGGAAGATGGAGAGTAATGGAACACTCCTGGCCACAGCCTGCCAGACTCCAGAGTTGTAGGTAGTTGTGGCCTACCCATCTCAGCAGGTAGCATCTGTAAGAAACACTCTTATTTCATTGTGGCCTCTTCTCTACCAGAAATTTCCATTGACTTTTTTTTTTTTTAAGATTTATTTATTTGTGCATACAGAACTGGGGTATAGGCCAGAGGCTTAGGGGCAGTGAGAGGATTCACCAGAGACAGAGTGGGGAGTAGAACAGGCAGATCAATGAAGTACACTGCTGAGGAGAGCAGCGAGCGGGTCAGGAGAGGTCTGCCCTCCATATGGATCACCGCCAGGGTGGGGGTTGAACTCAAGCTAAAGTGGCTTTAGTTTCTTAGTGCTGTGCTTTAACCCACTGTAACACCAGGGAGAGCCCTTCATTGAGTTTGACATAGTCAAACTAAATCTCACATTCAGGGCACACTCTTTTGTGTAGTTACAAGCGTGGGTTGATTTGAAACAGGAATTCCACTTCCACCTTGTGAATGGTTTGGCTTACTTTTCATTACTTAGTCTTTGTAAGCTACAGTTTGCTCATCTTTAAAAATTCTTTTCGTTTATTTGAAAGGAAACCTGCACTCCTGTGTTTACTGCACCACTATTTACAATAGCGAAGATATGGAAACAACCTAAATGCCCTCTAACAGATAAATGATGGATCAAGAAGATATCTACACAATGGAGTACTATTTAGTAATCAAAAGATAAACTCATGCCATTTGCATCATGGATAGAACTAGAAGGGATTATGCTCAGTGAAATAAGTCAGAAGGAAAAAAGAAAAATATCAGAAATATCGGATGGTTTCATTGACAAGAGGAACATAGGGAAACCAAAAAATGGGTCAGAAAAAAAGGACAAAACTAGCAGGCAAACTATAGACCTGAGACATACAGCAGGGGAGGGGAAGGGGTAAGAACTGGGGAGGAAAACACAAGGGATTGTGGAGACATTTCATGGGTGAGATGAGTTTATGGGGGTTACACCGGAGGGAAGAAATCAAATAATATACAGAAATGAACAATGATGGAAGAAATCTTTTAAAAAAAATAATTCATGAACCTTTTACCATAAAATAAATAAAACAAGGTTATGCTACTACCTACTTTAAAAAGCACTGTACAATAACCCCCTCTTTGCCTTTCTCTGTCTCCCACTTGTCCCTGCCATGAATCATCTGATCCAGGTTGACCCAGAACCTCCCTGCCTTCGGTGAATGGCTATGGAGTTTGTACTATCCGTGCATGCTTGTCTCTCTACCCTTGGCGTCATGTCTTTGTCCATCTTGCTCTCCATATCAGTCATGCCCAAGTATCAGGTGTTATCTTTCTGTCCCATACATTCTTTCTAGATAAAGGCACTTGTGGTACCTCTTTTTGTAGCCCTGTCACTTTTGCCTGGCATGTTTTCTTTGGCCGATTTGTATTGCTTTGTTGTTTTGCATTATTAACTTTTTATCCAGTCTCCTAAATGGCAGACTGATTGAGCAGATACTTTATCTTTGTTGTTTTGTTTGTTTTGCAGTTCAAGCATGTAGCAGACTGTTAGTAGAGAGTTGGCTTACAAATGGGCTGCCTCCCAGTTAGCAGTATTCCGTCACAGTCAGTGAGAAGATGGATGTAGTAGTTGAAATTCTTTGCTGTGCATAATCTTCTATGGAATGACACCCTTTTTATTATTGTTTCCAACCCCTGAGTGGTGTGGTATGATTTGAAGGAAAGAATTTCATCTTACCTCTTTCCTGTAGCACTATCCTAGTTTTGCTTCCTAACATGTTGACTTCTAGAAGAGGAGATGGGCTCTTCCTCTGACAAGAAACTGTAGTGAGCATTTTCTAGGGTATTCCTTTTTTTCTTTACCCTCCCCCCTTGTCATCAGTCTCAAGTTAGACTTTCTTTGCCATTAAAGTTAAATGCTGTTAGTCATTTCTTCCTGAGCCACAGATGTGTTAAGTTAGATATAATAAAATTTCTGGGATGGCCTGAAGTCTATATTCCATTTAATAAACATTTATATACCTGTTCTTTGCCAGGAATGGTTTCAGATGTTGAAGGAAGAAAGATAATAGCATGTGGATCCTACCTTACATTTGTTTGCAGTTTACTTTGAAAAAGTATATAAATTGTTATACCAAAAAAGGACTTAATAATTCTTCCTTAGCAGATCAAGGAAGTTCTCAAAAGGAGTGTACAAGCTGAACCACTCAGCATGTCAACATGACTCCCAGGGGCTTCATGTGCCCCTTCCGCAGACTTCCTTGACTGATGTGATGTATTTCCCTTTGCTGAATTTCAGCCCTGTTTGGTTGATCAGGTTCACATTTGTAACCTCCCAGATTGATAATTTTGAGAATGTAAGTCAGTAGCTTTCAAAATACAATTAATGTGACTTTCTGTTATTTAGATGACTGCTTAGAAAACTACACAGCCCACCAGCATCTGATGAAATTAGCGTATAAGCACATCAACCATGTCTTACACTCCAGGAATTGGCGGTGACCCTGCTCAGCTGGCCCAGCGGATTTCTTCCAACATCCAGAAGATCACACAATGTTGTGAGTTGAGTTTTAAGTTCAATTCACTGTTTGTTTTCAGTTCTTGTCTGAGTTCCATGGCAGTTGATAGAAGGACAACTCTCATCTTTGATAGAGGGAGGAGTATTGAGAAGAGATTTAAATAGGCTAGAATTCTTCAGTGTGACCATAGAAGACAGTAGGAAAGAGAACACATTGCATTTTTCTGTAGAGTTGCATCATATAACAAATATGCAGTTTCATTCCTAAAGTAAAGGCTCAAAAAGATACTTCCTTGTTGGTTCCACATAAGGTTAATAAAACTGGTTGACACAATCTCATAGGTTAGGAACTAGGAAGTACTATCAAAAGCTGAAGACAGTTTAATGAATACATTCTTTTATGTGTTCCTTAAAAGTAAAATTCAGCTGGATATGACTTAGATTAATTTTGTAAAGGATAAATATTTGGTACATTATTAAGAAACATTGAAGAATCAAGAGGGAGACATTTTAATCTTCTGAGGCAGAAAAATAAAAGCTATTAGTATTGCTCATAAATTATCCTTTGCTATTCCTATGAAAGACAGAGTACTGATCCAATATGAGTTTTATGAGACATTTTATGGACTAAATGCAAGAATTAAATAAAACAGTTACTGGCACAGATTGAGCCTATAGATTATTCTGTTTTATTTTTTGTTCCTTAGCCACAAACCTAGATCATTCAAGTCATCCTTTTCTCAGTATTCTGGCCTCATGTGTTAATTAAACTTTTGCAAAATGTGTTTAACACTTTCAATACTTTAGTCTACTTCGTTAAGATCACTCTTCTCACCAGAATGTATTAACACACTTAGTCAAATAAAGAGTGTTTTCAGATTACCAAACTCTGTTTCCTTGTCTAATCATTAATTTCTCTATAGTTAGAAGTTTACCTAAATAATTTAAATGAGAATCCAGTGTGGTTTGGAGGCAACGGGAGTAATATTAGGCTGCAGGTCATTTTGAAGAAATACTGTTATGCACAACTGTGCAAAATAACCTTTATACTGATTTGGTGTGATTTGATTGCTTTTAACTAACCTTAATGGAGGAGCAAGGAAGTGAGTACTGTAGGGTCTCATGGTGCTACAGGATGGCGCATGCAGGTGGTTGCAGTGTGTCCCAGGGCACCAGCCTTGGCTCCACATTCAGATTTGATGTGAGAGCGATAGAGAGCCTTACCTCCTTTTTTTTTTTTTAAATAATATATTAGTTAATTTTTACATCATTTTGTGTCCTTTTTTTTTAAAGATTATTTATGCATACAGAACTGGAGTACAGGCCAGAGGTGCAGGGGTGTTGAGAGGACTCACCAGAGACAGAGTGGGGAACAGAACAGGCAGATGGACAAAGTACACTGCTGAGGGCATCCGCGGGCGGGCCAGGAGAGAGTGCCTCTCCTCCTTTGTGGCTGCACATTAGAAGAGTGCTGGTAGTGAGAAAATACCGGGAAAGAGCTTTTAGATGTAGCCCACAACAGATATGTTTTTAAAAAGCACTTGAGGCAAGAGAAGCAGGTGATGAAATCAGAGAGGAGGCTGAGCAGGTCACATAACCTTGGAGGCTGTTTGAACAGGTTAGATTTCATCATAAGGCAGGAAAGACACAATCACATCTGCACTTTGCAACACTTACTTTGGTGATTGGAAGTTGTAGGGAAAATGGAAGGGTGGTGGCCATTGCTAAATTCTAATGAGAAATATGTTGGCTACACCAGATGGTAGCAGAAAGACAGAGAGAAACGATGGGTGTGCTTTGGGGGCAAAACCAGCAGCAGTAGCTGATGAAAGTGGGTGGGGTGAGAGAGAATGAGAGGAGTCCAAGATGACGCCCTGGCTTTTGCATTGAGGAACTAAGTGGATGGCAGTGGTTCTGAGATGGGGAGGATTACAGTTAAGAAGTGAGGAGACTTGTTGGGACTGAGTGAATTTAGGGATGCCTTTTTAGACATCTCAGTGGAAATGTCAAGCATCTGGTTTAGATACATGATGTCATTTGGAGATCAGAATGTCATCAGAGTATAAATGGTATTTAAAACCTCAAGTATAATCACAAAGCAATGAGTTACAAGAAGCAGGCTGGAGCTTTAGAAAAAATGTGAACGCCTGGAAGGCAAGGATAAAGCCACATAAGGGATCAGAGAAAGTGTGATCAGTGTGGTAAGAAAAAAAAAATCACAATCTGCAGGATGGCCAATTTCTAGACATCCAAAGAACTGTTCCAAGAGTGAGTGAGGCATCTTCGTGTCTCAAGCTTCCTAGAAAGTGAGTAAGATACAAGCAAAGAATTGGATTTGGCAAATTGGCATATTTGAAAAGATGGGTCTCATCTTCACCTTCCATGTGCAGATGGAGGAAAGAAGGGAAGAGAAAGACCTAAGCCTTTCAGTTAAAGAGACTTCCCATAATACTACTCACTTCTGCTTGTGTTCATCCTCAGAATTTAGTTTTCATCATGTGTCTCTACCTAGCTGCTAGGAAGGCTAGGGTAACCATGACTGGATTGCCACGTACTCACTACATTGGGGGGTCACTCCATTTGGGGAAGAAGGAAAGAATAAAGATTTATTAGGCAACTAGCAGATCCTACCATGAAGCTGAAAGAGAATCAAAGGGTTGTATTTTTCCACTTCAAAAGGGAGATTCTAGTCAGAGTATGATTGCAAAAGAATTGATGTTGAAGGTGAGAGGGGAAGCGGGGTGGGTCACAGTGTCTGGCTCACCTTTGGACAGAGCAGGGCATACTGTGGCATGGACCCTAAGTGTGGTCACTGGATCTTCGAGTTCCTGTCTGAGCATGCCTGTTTTCATAGGAAAAGGAGCCAGAGGCATCTGACCCACAGTGGGAGATTGATAGAAGTTGATGGAAAGAAGACAGAATGGACTTCCTGCATTTTTGATGCTTGGGAGAATAGACATGCAGGACAGTAGAGAAGCTTTGTGGCTTAGATTGAGTACTCATTTGAGATTTGGGGTCATGAGTTTAAAGAAACCAGTTATCCACTATCTCAATGATCTAGATAAAGTTGCTGTTTAAAAGCTAACATGCTGTCTAATGTGGGTTACTAATCAGGTCTGTTCAGAGATCAGGTGGAAGTAAAAGACAGAAGTGTGAAATTTCACTTCGCTTTTTCCTCCATCTGGTAACGCTAATAATACTGGGTGTGATAGAATAAAGCAGTACATTAGACCCCATTTAGGTGTTTCTCTTTGTACTGCATTTTCATCTTTTGAATTTGTATCAGTACAAATTAGTACAAATTATTTAGTTGTTTAAAAGAAATTGAAAAAGATGCTATAAGCAGGGTGATATACTCTTGTAGTATATACCTGTTCGGGTATAGCTAACATCTTCCTGAATTCTGCAGTGGGAAAAGTTTATTTTCAGATGTTTGGATGAAGATCAATGAAAAGTGGTAAGATACCGAGTTGTATCGTTTAATTTATACTAAAAAAAAGAAAATAGCAATCAAAAAGATTTTTGCTTCTTGGAAAAACCCACTTAGTCAGATTGGAGTTTTAGCTTTTTCTTTTTCTTTTTTTAACAGTGTTCTATTCTGGTAATTCTGTTTTGCAGAGAATAGGATAGTTGAGACTATATATTACACACACACATATATATATTTTAAAGTTCTATTTATTTTTGCATAGAAGAACTGGGATGTAGGCCAGAGTTGTGGGGATGAGGGGCGAGAGGATTCACCAGAAACAAGAGTAGAGAGCAGAACTGGAAGATTTCCTGAAATACACTGCTGAAGGGAGCAGCAGGTAAGGCCTGCAGTGCCTCATGTGGGTCAGCTCCCTGGTCAGGGATCAAACTCAGACCATGGAGGTGATAGCATTGAGACTTCACTTTGTAGACCATGAGGGAGACCCAAGAGAAAATATTTTTAAACTTGTAGTTTTTCTTTTAAATACTTTTTGTTAAAAATAATCTGTAGTTTTATCATTTGCTTTTCTAGTGAAATATTTGAACCATATTAAAATAATGTGTATTTTACATCAAACATAAACTAAATTGCAAATGCTTTAAAACATTTTTTATCAGAAATAGAATTAGTAAAATAACATAGCTTTTCAAAAATAATAGATCTAACAAGCTAAAGATCTAAGAATCTTTCTGTGGAGCATTTAAAATAATTAAGAAAATATTTTCATCCTTTGGGGGTGCCACAGTAGGCTGGAGTTGGCATGCAAATGAAATCATAACAACTGTTATCGAATTAATAACAATAACCAAGTTATTTTCTTATCAGCCAATTTACCAGAATTCATACTGCTCCAGATTCTTGCCAACGTTTGGCATTTAACTGTAGTTTATTCTCACTATGATCTGTACGGATTAGTACAATAGGATTTTTCAGAATGTAGTTGAGTTAGGGAAATCATTGAACAATACAAAAACTATCTAATTAGCTGTATATGTGCACACTTCCTGAAATCAGTTTCAAAGAGCTCTGTGACATTGAGGAAGCTGTTTCACTTTTCATGATATGATTTTCTTATATATATTTCTGTTGACTGGATTATGCTGCCTTCCAGCTTTAACACAATAATTCTTAGCCCCACATTCAAAGAATTCTTAAAGCTCTTCTAAAATGTGGGACTATTTGTTAATCACGCACCAACTGCCAGATATACTACATGCGTTTAAAATCCCCTTATAGAAAGTCATTCCTTTGTAACACCAGCTATTTTTTTGTTAGAATGGGAGAGTTGTAGTCAGTAGGTTTTCTGGGCTGAATCATGTCAGAATCAACCAAGTTGTGAATTTGAAGGAAACTGATGAATAGCAATAGCAGCAGCTCACCATGAAATAAAGTTGTTGAGTTCAGACTTTCCCATGTGTACATATTATAAAGTGTTAATAATAGCGCTAATGAGAATTCTGGCATTTCAGTGTTTTACTTATTATT